AAGCAGTTTTTAATTCTGGACCTGCAACAGGATGTATAAAGCGAAAGCATGTTTCAGTGTGCATTAAAAAAAGTGGAATTGATGCAAAAAATTGATAGCATGTATCCGCCTCAAAATTATGTGAGGAGTATGGCATTGGAAAGCTTATATGACATAACAGAAAAAGGAACTTTACGAATTTTTTGTGGATTCTGACACCCAACTCGCAATGAATAACAGAAAAATTACTCACTATGCTAAAAGTGACAGTTATGACGAAGTGATGATTTTGAATGGTAAGCAAGAGATTCAGCTAGGGCATGCTATTGATGGGGAAAATGCTAATGACTGAAGCCAAAATATTTCATATCAACTTAAAAACAGAATGTACATAGTCAACAGATTGCTTAACTAAATTTTAAAATCACCATGGTATGTGCCTCTAGATACTTTAAAAAATTCTTGGCATAATTTATGGCCAGCTACCATATTTCATGATGAAGATGATAACGACGAATTTGAAAGCTTTCAGATATCGCAAACCACAGGTAAAATTTTTCAAATAATGGATTTTGTAAAAAAATGTGGAGAAGTGGTAGTAAATGAAGATGATATAATAGAAGCTTTTCATTGTGGTGACAATGGTCAATGCTGCTACCAGTAGTGAAGAAAGTGAGAGAGAATTTAGTGAAAATGAAAAAATTTCGATTGACCAGTTATCAGAGTCAGATTTCTCATCAGAGTCACTGCAGTACTTGAACAGTGGAACTTTGTAATTGAACAAGAAATTATGTCTGTGTATAGAATTGAAGAGAGAGTATTAGCACAAAAAACCAAGAAACTTAAACAATTTACATTCAAAGAAATGTTTAATAAAGTGAACAAATTAATATTAAGCCTTTTTTTTTTTTTTTTTTTTTTTTTTTAATTTTGACACCCTTTTGATCATGAATGCTCCATTATATCGTAAATCATGATTTCATATTTTTAATTTTATAATTTCTACATGCCATCTTACCAGAATCTCGGACTTTATACTGTATTTTTGATTAATACTAGATGGCTTCATGAGACACTTCATGTGTTTCTGTTTTCTTAACTCACGGAAAGAAATTGTGTATCACTGTTTCTTCTAGGAATTTCAAACCCAATTTCTCAGCCACAAATTTGCTTCTATAACACTTCTGACTTTCTAAATCTGTGATAATAATCGCCAGATATTCTTTCCCATTTTCTATCATATTAACAATTTAAGTTTGCAAATGCATTTCCTTTTGTGCAAGAATTTGATAAAATAGCATGTTCATCTATTTCATTTTCACATCTAGCTTTTGTTTTATTGAGACAGTTATTTGAGTTAAAAACACGTGATATCAAAATGTCTTCTCTTACGGGACATACAAATTGCTGTTATTTTACACCGTCTTGATTGTTTTCTTTTTTTCTTCAAACATATGAAACAGACCCCCATTTCTTTAAAGTAGATTTCCTTTCTTCAATACTGATATTACGTGCATAATCACATGTTTCAAAACCATGATATTTATTACAAAATACACAAGTATTTTGGACATTTTTATTCACTTCTGAATTGATAATTTCGCTTAATAAATTTTTATTTAGGTTTTCCCGTTGAGTCAGAATTAATACTCCTTTAGACTGTGAAATGATGAACCGCATTTCGAGAGTCACCTGTCAAGCCAATCCTTTCTCTCGCATTTAAGTGGGCATTCAGAAAGCTGATTAAATCATCAACTTTATATTCAGAATTTCTGGTTTATTATATTCAAAGAGTAAATGTTTTAAAATCGCATGTCATAACAAATTCCTATATGTGTTTGAAGAAATTCCAAACTACAAATTTGCATCTGACAATTATCTAGTTACTTTCAAAAGCTTCTGACATCATTAAAATGTTTAAGAGTGGAAAACTGAACAAGTTACTCGTGAACATTTATCAAAACATCATCTCATCCATATTGGTCAGTTAACAATTTAACAGCCTTATTATTATTATCAGATGTAACTGATAAACTATTAATACTGTTTAATGTGGAACTGCACAAATCAGGGTTGCCACGCTACCTGGAAAACCGGAAAAAATCAGGGAATTCGAAAATTCAGGAAAAAGTCAGGGAATTTAAGTATTTTGGTCAAAATCTGGAAAGTCAGCGAATTTCATACAACGATCCTGCCAAAAAAAAAACGAGTTTTGCGCCGACGTCGGAAGAGATACTTTTTTGGCGAATTGTGTATCACGTGAGTGTCATTCGGGCAGCTGGCATAGAGCCAATTTTCGCAGCTCCAATTTGATTGTCTTTTAGAAAGGCAAAGCAAGTTTTCCGCAACTTATGGTTTCCAGTAACCTCGAGAATCGAGAGAATCGCATGTGCAGTGCATGAACTAAAGAAAGTACTTGTTCTCGTATAAAACAAAATGGGTTTAATCCTAGTATACGGTACCATGGAGGTTAGAATCAAAGAATATGTGTTGTAAAGAATTATACTAGAATTTTACCGCAAAATCTTTTTAAACCTTTTTTTTCTTTTTAATAAATACCTTGTCATTTTGCAGTAAAATTCAAAGATAGTAATGAGTCATCTAGGCTAACCATGTAATATAACTATATTCGCTAAATTATATTACATGTACTCGTTGATTATGCTAATTCAATTTTGAAGTAATTATCTTTATTTTTATGTTATTTATATCATTTAATGTTGCTTTTTCCCTCTAAATTTATTTATTATTAGTAAATAATATTTCCAAATTTCAGGAAATTTTCTCTGGCGTAATCCTGAAATCAATCCTAACAGTATGATGACATACCATCACAAAATTTAATGCACATATTTTTTCCTTATGTATGCTGCGAAATAAATATGAAATACCTCAATTTATTAAAAATATATCATTAAATAGATTTCTTTCTTTCGTTTAACTGCAGAACATCTGCAAAAAAAAAGCCTTATTTTATTCCAGATTGGGCAGATTCTAATCTCAATCTTCAGTGGAGAAAAACAACTCCTATTATAATTATATTTGTGTTTTCAAGTGTTAAGATGCCTTTTAAGAAGACACCTCACACAAATTAAATTTACCTAAAATCTAACCTAACTATTTAGGATAGCGTTGTGATTTATAAGGACCGGATTAGCCTCGTGTTGAACTGGTGATGATCATAAGTAATAATTAAATAAAACATACAATTGTTATCCAATGTATATATCTTAAATTTTATTAAGTTTCTTAAGTGGAAATGTAAACAATTTATACGAAGAATAATTAAGAATAAATGTCTTCTGGGATTTATTGAATAATTAAGTGAATTTGCTACGCAATACAAGTAATACCATAATTAATTTACCTCTTAGCACAGCCAATGTACATTATGCAGATAGACTGGAACTTTCTTGAAACACATCTGGAAGACCTGGAAAAGTCAGGGAATTTCATTCTCCTGTTTGAGTGGCAACCCTGACAAATGAGCCTTCAGATAATTTATCAACTTTCATTAATGACTTGTTTTCATGTGCCAGATTCATGTGAGCTACAAAATGTGAGCAACATAAAATTCATTAATTATGAGCTTAGCAAGTTTTGCATTACCAGTTTCTTTAGAAACATATTCACTCAGAAGAATTTTTTCATTTAAATTTTGTGAACTTTTCAAAGGTGAATTAATCAATAAGTTTTGATTTTTAATCTAATTTTCTTCTTGGCTCTAAATTTGCATAAAATTATCTAAATATTCATCTCAATTTTCTAAGTAAGGTTCAGTTTCTTCCGGCTTAAAACACTTCTAACTTACCATCAATAGACTTTAAAATATTGATTTTACAGTTCAGCAGTTCTAAATTGTCTTCCAATTAATTTATATTAATTTTATCTTTGGAAAGATCAGATTCTATCTTATTAAGAATTTTAGTAGCTGCTGATCTGTGTCGCATTTCATTTTCATTTTACAAATAATTTCTTCACACATTTTTTACTATTAAAATGCTTTCAAATATTCAATATTAAATCAATATATTTGAGGAACACATTAGATTTTTCAGTAATAGCAAAATAATATTACACCATCCCAGCAAGTAATGCCAATTTACAAAAGTTCAATAAAAGAATGAAAAGAATGAGTGCTCAATCAAATTGAGTTGTAATCAAGACCATGCAGCTTCTACCATTGCTCTAAACAAGTCCACAGGTTGTGAATATCTTCTTTGCTGAAATCTCAAATTTATCAGAATTCACAACAATGATCTAATATTTTGAATATATTTAATAAAACATTAAAGTTACAGAATCCTTTTAGAGCATATTGCAAAAGATTCTGCGCACTCAAAAAATCCATATGGCTACAATTTGTAATCAAAACTTGTTAAAAATATACAAATGTATTTGGTGCTGTCAAGCTATTTTGCAGCTTTCTAAAATTTCATGTTGCGAATTTTTTCCCCCAGAGTTTGCTTTTGTCAATCAGACTTCCTATTTAATAATTTTTCTGAATTATTTATAGGATTGTAACGGCAAGTGTTAGCTGATGTTGTTCACTTTTAATGCGCAAAATTGGCTGTAAGTTTTTCCTTGCCAGCCTGACAATCAAGACTTTGCAGACTGAGTAGAAAATTAGACGAAAGATTTTGTTTCAGTTCTTAAAAGCTTGATTTTAATGAGCATTTGGTTTCTTTATCAGATATGGTATTAAGTTTTTGTTTTCTTACAGACGATCTTGTAACTTAAATGGAAGTTTTGCAGTTATTTTTCTTTGTTCCTTCATGAATGAAAATTTTACAATCAGCAGTCATAATATCTCTTTAAATACTAAAACTCTTTTTCTTATTTTTTCACTCATGATAAAGACTGATGAGTTTCCTATTGTAGTGTTGTATCAGAAAAATTCTGCCTATAGTTTTTAATAATATTTTATTGATTTTGTATTTAAATGTGTATTTAAAAAAGTTATGATGTTCTGAAATGAATTGGTCTACTAAATATCTTAATTTTTCCTCCTAAAATTATAGGAGCCCATGGGGTTGGAAGGCGCCATATCAAAAATACGCTTATTAGTAATCATCCTGACAAATACGCTTATCCAATTCCTCGTAAGTGATTTTCTTCCATATTGAGTGAGTAAACGTTTTTATGCGTGTGTCTGTTTTTATACATTTTGTGTTGTAATAATTCCTTTTGCGACACGTAGAAGACTGAAATGTATGGTGATTATTATGTGCTGTTACTAATAACTAAATTTTGAGCTTGTTTTCATATGTAATGTTTCTACTTCAGGTTAAAATTTTTAACCTTTACAACTCTGAAGTATTATTTAGTGGCATTATCTTTGTGGTACACGTACAGTATATTCTGCTTAAATTGCGTAATTTAATTATGGCAAATCATAGAAGAGCCATGTGTTTAAGCTGCATCCTAGTTTTTTTGACAAAACATGCCCATCTAAGATATTATTCATGCCAGTGCTAGGGAAAAAGTATTAATAGCTTAAAGAAGAACTGGAATTAAAATATTAACTAAAACAATAGATTTTGATTAACTTTGGAAAGCTTAAAAAGTTTTAATTCACCATATTAGAAGTTTTGTAATTTTGGGTTACTAAATGGTAAAGGGAGATATATATCCCCTTATAGAGTGATCACACGTTATAGCATTTATATGCTTTGCTATTAACCCCTCAGGGGGCTCACTTTTGTGAGTACGGGTGTGGCAATCCCGAGGTCTCTTGTGAGACGGGTGTCACGATCCTGGAGCCCCAGTGATCTATCCTCTTTTCCGTCTCCTCTCCTCTTGGCTGGAACTTTTTCCCTTCCCTTCTCCCTTGTGGTTTCTCTCTACGGAGTTTGGGGCTCTCGTCACGAGAGGACTGGAACAGACCTTGTCTCTAGTTTTCGAGTGGCGAGAAAACTGCCCACGTGTTTGCCGTGCGTGGAGACCCGTGTCGCTGGAAAGGAGGGTCCTGGTAGTTGAGGGGCGAGGTACTGTCCCCAACACACTGCTTTGGCCTCTGCTTCAGCTAAACGGGAGGCACCTTAGTCGTCCTCACGGGTGTCAATCGGCTGGTCACTAGTCCTTGTGTCAGTGGCTTGGGGTCAAGCTCTCGGGAGTACCTGCTTTCGGGAAAGCCGACTGTGGGGCTTCAGTTTGCGTATAGGTCCGGCTAGCCCTAACACAGGAATCTGTGTTCCCTTGTTGGGCTCCGTGGTGGGCGGGGCCGTCGGACCCGAATCTTTCTTCTCCTTCAATATGGCTTCTTCACACATATATTTAATTAAAGATTTCGAGGTCACTCCAGTCTCTCAACCTAGTTCTGAAACGTCTACTACTAAACCAGTCACTCAACCTAGTTCTGAAACATCTACTAATAAACCAATCATTCAACCTAGTTCTGAAGCGTCTACTACTAAACCAGTCACTCAACCTGTCACTCAACCTAGTTCTGAAAATTCTGCAAAAAAATTACGGACAGATGCAAATAAAAAAAATCATAACAATAGTCCCCGTTTCCTAGTAATCTCTAGTCCTTCTGGCGAAATGCATAAGATGTCTCCTTTCGTAATAAACAAATACATCCAGTCTTGTATTGGTGAGCCGAGAAATATAAAGCGTCTCCGCTCCGGAGACTTGCTTATTGATACAAACTCAGCCACCCAGTCTGCTTCTTTACTTCAGATAACTAAACTTGGGCAAGCGAATGTCACTGTAACACCACATAAGTCACTGAACTATTGTCGTGGTGTAATCTCAGAATTCGACCTTCTGTATGTTTCTGAAGAAGAGATCGCTTCTGAGCTATCCGAACAAAATGTCTGCGGTGTAAGGCGGATCAAGATGCGTAAAGAAGGTAAGTTGATAGACACGAAACACGTGATCCTTACCTTCAACACGCCTGATCTGCCTAAGAATATTAAGGCCGGATATCTAAATATTCCTGTAAGACCTTATATTCCAAACCCTATGCGATGTTTCCAATGCCAGCGTTTCGGCCATTCTAAGACGTCTTGTCGTGGCAGCCTCACATGCGCCCGATGCTCACAGATTGGCCACGATTCTGATAATTGTACCGCTGCGCCTTTGTGTATAAATTGCAAGGGTGACCACCCAGCATTTTCTCGCTTGTGCCCAAAATGGAAATCGGAAAAAGAAATCCAGACTGCAAAATTTACTAGGAACATCTCTTACGCCGAAGCCAGAAGACTAGTCCAGAGCACACAGCTTCGACCAAATACATCATACGCCAGTGCTGTTAAATCATCTCGTACAGTTGCCACCCAAACATCAATAGGCACACAGACCCTACCAAATAAAACCCAACCGTCTACATCCAACAAGAAAAAAGAAAATGCAACCCATATAGTACAAAAAAAGAAACAGTTATTCAAAGTAAGCCAAAAACTGCCACACAAAAAATATCAAATAAAAATAGAAGTCGCAGCAATAGCTCTCTTGATGAGATGATTTCTGAATCTGCGGATTCAGACTTTATGGAAGTGGAAGAGGGTCTGGAAGTTCCCAGGCATCTACTTCCACGAAAAAACAAAGAACAGCACAGGAAAAAACAAAAACCATTCATAATGGCCACCCTCGTGTCATGGAACTGTCGCGGTTTCCACCGAAATTTGCTAGACATCAATTCTATAATAAATGTGTATCATCCTGTATGCTTCGCAATACAGGAAACAAATCTGAAACCAGAACAACATGCAAAACTTCGGAGGTTTTCTTTCGTCAGGAAGGATAACCTTGCAGGTGAGCGTGCCAGTGGAGGTGTAGGTCTCCTCTCCTCACTGGATTATCCCTCAAATGTACTTTCTTTGACGACATCCCTCCAAGTTGTCGCTACTCAAATAAATTTTGATATTGTTGTTTCATTTGTTTCTTTGTATTTGCCTCCAAATGAGCACATTTATCAGCAAGATTTAAATAATCTAATAGAGCAGCTGCCTGAGCCTTTTATCATAATAGGAGATTTTAACGGCCATAGTCCACTCTGGGGTAGTAAAGATACAAATTGCCGAGGAAGACAAATTGAGCAGATGATCGAAGATCATAGCCTTTGTCTCCTAAATAATGGGCAGGATACTTACTTCCATGAGCCTTCAAGGACATTCCACGCTCTCGACCTTGCCATCTGTTCACCATCTCTGTTGCCATTTTGCACTTTTAGTGTCGGAAATGACCTGTACAACAGCGATCATTATCCCATTTTTGTGTCTCTTGCACGAAGAGGAGCAAACCCCATGTCGAGAGTCCCTCGTTTATACTGGACAGGGCAGACTGGGAACTCTTCTCTTCCATTGCAGAGCTGACAGAGAGGAAATGGTAGAAGATGTGCATATCGATGACGCTGTTGAAGCTGTTACTAATACTATTATTCAGGCAGCTATGCTTTCGATTCCTAGAACATCAGGAAAAAATACTAAAATATTCGAAACCATGGTGGAATCGCGACTGTCATGAAGCACTGAAAAAACAGAAAAAAGCATGGGGTATTTTTCGTAGATATCCTACTCTGCGAAACCTCATAGCCTTTAAAAGAGCCAAAGCAAATGCACGAAAAGTAAGAAGGCAGAGCCAGAGGGATTCCTGGATTTCATATGTGTCCTCAATAACATCCTCTACGCCTAGTAAGCGGGTTTGGGAAAGAGTTCGAAAAGCATGCGGAATGTATAAAGACCACTCACTTTCCTTTCTGGAAAAAGATGGCCGAGTGATTAGCTCCATAGAAGAAATTGCAAATACTATTGGTGAGACATTTGCTGCCGTTTCTTCCAGCAGAAACTACTCACCTGCATTTCTTTCTATCAAGCAACACTCTGAAAAAATCCCATCGCATTCAACTCTTCCAAATTTGAGCCGTACAATAGAGACTTTACTATGGTTGAATTAAAGAGAGCTTTGTTGCAGACACATAGGTCTTGTCCGGGTCTGGATGGCGTGTATTATGAAATGCTAAAGCATCTGTCCTATAAGTCACTGAGTGCCCTTCTCACACACTTTACAATAGAGTGTGTGGAAGGAGCGTACATTTCCCAGTGCATGGAGGAGAGCTGTTGTCATTCCTATTGCGAAGCCAGGGAAAGACCCGAGGAATCCCTCGAACTATCGGCCAATTGCCCTTACCAGTTGTGTTTGCAAACTGTTTGAAAAGATGGTAAACAGCCGCCTAGTCTACTTCTTGGAAAAGAATGATATTATATCGCCTTATCAGAGCGGTTTTCGAAAGGGAAGAACAACTGTAGATAACATGCTCCTCTTAGAGACATCTATTCGAAAAGCATTTGTAAGAAGAAGCCACCTTGTCTCGATATTCTTCGACATTGAAAAAGCTTATGATAAGGCATGGAGATACGGTATACTCCGGGATCTTCACGAGAGTGGCTTGCGCGGCAACCTACCAATTTTCATTCAGAATTTCTTGAACACTAGAACTTTTCAAGTAAGGATTGGCTCTGTTTTTTCGGATGTTTTTGAACAGGAAGAGGGTGTGCCTCAAGGCTGTGTGCTTAGTGTAACGCTGTTCAGTTTAAAAATAAATTCTGTATTAAAAGAACTTCCTCCCACCATCTTGGGATCTCTATATGTTAGATGATTTACAGATTAGCTGTCGAGGAGCAGACATGAGATACATAGAGAGGCAATTGCAGATGGCTCTGAATAAGATCCAAGAATGGTCAGACAAACAGGGATTTACTTTTTCGAAACAGAAAACTGTGTGCGTGCACTTTTGTAGGAAGCGAGGTCTCCATCCTGAACCTGAGTTATATCTGAATGGTACAATTATTCCAGTTGCGCCCGAAGTAAAATTTTTAGGAGTGACGTTCGACCGAAAATTGACTTTCCTTTCTCATGTTTTAAACCTGAGAAAGAAGTGTCTAAAAACACTAAATATTTTAAAAGTGTTGGCGAACACCTCCTGGGGTGCAGAGCGTTGCTCCATGCTTCGCATTTACAGAGCGCTTATCCGCTCTAGACTGGACTATGGCTCAGTTGTTTATGGATCCGCTCGGCTCATCTGTTTTGTTAAAACTGGATCCTGTTCACCATCAAGGTCTGCGGATTTGTTCAGGAGCTTTCAGGACTTCTCCTGTCC